TTCTTAATGTGGCCTTTGTGACACTCCAAATCATTTGACATCCGAACTGCCCAACCCCCTCTTTATCTTGTTGCGGGAAATCATGGTTGTTTGTTCATGCACCAGGGGTGACCTGCCTAAGTGCGGGTTTCTACACCGCCAACCACCTACGCTCGATCCCGCCTTCGGTCCTCTTAAGCCTGCCTTGACACCGGATTCAGCTGGAAACGGAGGAGAGAGCGTGGGAGATCCTGGGAAATTGTAGTATAACCATAATATAAATCAACCTTAAGTCGCTGACTCTGCGCCCACCTTGTTGTGCGGCAACGTAGGTCACGGCGGTCTAACTGTTGCACAAGCAAGCACTCATGACCCGATGATTGGTTGAGCCGAGATCGGTTATGTTCCCATTATATTGACGGGGCTAGGCAACACATACGGCTTCCAGGCGGTCCTTCAATATCTTTAGTCAATATAAATTTCTGTCATTCGTTGGTGAACGTTCGCCGATCGCTAACGGAGTCCACTCGTCCCGCTTTGCCTTGGATATCATTTCTCGGGCCCTGACTGCAGCTGTATCGGCTAGTAGTCTTATGCAGATAGTATTGCCAGTAAAGTCAACGGAGACTGGAATAGCCACTTTCGGCCTATAAGCCCTCGTCAGCCAGTCATACCCAGTTCCAAGTGGAGCACCACACGAGGCTCGAACTCGCGAGGTTTTTGATCCGAGTCTAACGCTCTAATCATTGAGCCACGACCGGAAAGGGGAACGTTGTCCAAGTAGTGTCGCTATCTTTCGACCACGAGCAAATGGTTCAATGGTTAGAGCGTCAGACTTCTGATCGAAAGGTCTTGAGTTCGAACCTCCGGTGGTGCACAACTTGGATTTGCATTTGACTAGCTTATGAAGCAGAAATGGCCATACCAGTCTTTTTTGGCTTTGTCGGCCATACTATCAGCCTAGACTACTAGACGCTACGCCCATTGCATATTAACGCAGCTCTGGAAAATCTCCCGCCAAGACTTGATGTGGCGTTACGGGGGTTTTAACGTGAACCACTTTTATTGGTTTGGACGGTTTATAGCCGTGAGAACTGGTTTCACGAGGTTTTAGTTTTAACTTTTGTTTCAGTTTTAAACTCCCGCCATTGGAAGCGGCAGAACTGACCACTTCTGGTCTGGCTTCCACCTGCTGATCAGAAAATGACGCCAAAAAAGTATTCATGAAGAAGAAGGCAATGCTAGGTTGGATCCTTTCTCGCGTCGAATGCGGACAACAGGCTTATCGGTTTAACCTCCGTTGACAAGAAAATTGCAGGACAGATAAAACGTGAAGGAATCACCTAACCTTTATGCATTCATAAACAGCGGTTTGCTAAGGAAAAGCCGTTTCCGTTGTAAGCCGTGCATTCAAAGATTAAGCACGTTTACACTGAAACAAATGCTAAGCTGAACTTACTCCCCCACCAAAAAAGTAAACTGTGGTCCTGACGCCTGAGCCGCGGAGTAAAAACCCTTTTAGGACTGTTTGCAGTCATGCCAGAAAAAAACGCTCGAAAACTTAACTTTGGGTTCGTCGCACATGTCATCAACTATATAATCGAGTAGATCAGTTTACGGGTTAAGTATGGTGGCTAGCCAAAAAATATCGTTACTGCATAGAACTTTTAAGTAGTGACACGCCACACCTCCACACTAAACCAATCAGGGCAGAATTAAACGTGAACATCCCAATCCCTAGATTCATTACGCTATCGTGAAAGCATCTCTCGTTCGGTGAGTGCATCATCCCTTATTGGCCGCGATGAAACTTTTAAATTTTGAGCAAACCATTGGCGCCATGTGCTCCGGTAGGGTGTCAACGTATTCAATGTCCATCAGAAAAAAAGTAACCTAAGACCTTCCTCAATGCGTTCAGAAACAATAATCTGGGAATGCTGTCAATTTAGCCGAGTTGGGGCATTTGAACATTTCAAAATGGCTATCACTAGGCAAAATACACTAAA